CACCGGTCTTTATCACAGCTGACTGTCCACTCCCTTCTTCCTGTCATAACCGCCATGACAAGATCAAAATGCAACGAGATAACTCTTCAAATTCATTTTCAAAATTCACCAATACCCCCTTCTTCAAGACGATTTTGACTGTTGGCCAGGTTTCAATAAATATCTCGAAATCTAAGGGAGCTAGCGAAATTTTTGTTGTAACCTTTTTTGTAGCACTCGGCTCGCTCTCCAAAAAATATTATAACGAAAATTTCGTTATTTCCCTTACATTCGCAGGTATTCTTCGAAAACTCAGATAAGGGCTAAATCGACTTGGAAGAAATGAAAAGAAAATTCGTGAAATTTTGATATTTCGTAAATATTGCAGCTTTCTTAAAAAAAAAAAAAGTCAAATCTTGTAAATGAAATTTTCGTCATTATCTCCTGCTCCTGGGGTCCGTTTCTAGAAGAGTTTTCACTGTGAGAAGTGAGACAGTTATGATGTGTTTCCTCACCGTGAAAACTTACAGAATCGGACCCCTGACCACTTCCAGAAAAATTGAAACAGTCTTTTTTATCACAGCTGATTGTCCACTCCCGTCTTCCTGTCATAACCGCCATGACAAGATCGAGATACAAAGAGCTAACTCCTCGAATCCATGTCCAATATTCACCAATACCCCCTTCTTCAAGTCGATTTTGACTGTTGGCCAGGTTTCAATAAATACCTCGAAATCTAAGAGAGCTAGCAAAATTTTTATTATGACCTTTTTTGCAGCACTCGACTCGCTCTCCAAAAGAGATTGTAACGAAAATTTCGTTATTTCCCTTACATTCGCAGCTATTCTTCGAAAACTCAGCTAAGGGCTAAATCGACTTGGAAGAAATGAAAAGCAAGTTCGTGGAATTTTGATATTTCTATCTTGTGAATGAAATTGTTACCATTATCTCTCGCTCCTGGGGTCCGTTTCTACAAGAGTTTTCACTGTGAGAAGTGAGACTTGTGACGTGTTTCCTCTGTTAGAACAATGTAACACAAAAGCTCCCATTTCATTTCTCACCCTGAATACATATAGAATCGGACCCCTGACCACTTCCAGAAAAATTAAAACACCCGTCTTTATCACAGCTGATTGTCCACTCCCTTCTTCCTGTCATAACCGCCATGACAAGATCGAGATACAAAGAGCTAACTCCTCGAATCCAGGTCCAATATTCACCGATACCCCCTTCTTCAAGTCGATTTTGACTGTGGGCCAGGTTTCAATAAAGGCAGTGTCTATTCACATGGTCCACGGTAAATTTTACCGCGGATACAGGGTATATTTTACCGTGGATATACGGTAATTTCTACCGTGGATATAAGGTAAGCAGTGGGGTACGTAGGCCCATTTTTTACCGTGGATAAAAGGTAATTCTTACCGTGGATATAAGGTAAAGCAGTGGTGTGCATCGGGCCCATTTTTACCGTGGATATAGGGAAGATTTTCACCGTGGATATAAAGTAATTTTTTTTTACCGTGCATATAAGATGAGTGAATGGCGTGCAGTGTTTCCACTTTTTACCGTGGATGCAAGGGAGATTTTACCGTGGATCTATTATATACACAGTGATGTCTACCGTGTATATAAGGGAGATCAGTGGTAAGCATCGCGTAGGGAAATTATCTCGCGGATCTAGTTGTATTATGGGTTAGAGCCTTTAAAATTTCAAAGATCAGGGGGGTGACGACCAGGGTTAAACGAGAGACGAATAAAGTTAGTAGGCCAATCAAATAAGGACTTTTTTTTTGCCGAAATCAAGGATGATAGAAGAAGGATAAAAACCATGAGATATCATGCGGAAAAATGATATGAAATACATACTGAGTTTTTGGGATTGTAGCAAACCGGGAAATTGTTTGAAAAAATTCAAAACAGAAAAATTAAGCATCCACGCGACTTTTTTTGCTTTACGCCGACGAAACCGTGATAGGATAAAAATGCATAAAGCTTAATTTGTAGAGCATAAAATTCCCTACAAAAAAGTCAATGGCGGCATTTTCGCAATTTAAACCGTCAAGTCGCCAAGCGCGCTCAAAGTTGAATTACGAAAAAGCTGATTCGCCGCCAACGCTGAAAAGTCCATTTTAGTTGCAAAATGCAAATAATTCTTCATAGAATGTCTTCAGGAGAGGAAATTTTTTTAAAAACATTTTTCAATTTTTCAGCAGTCCCCATTTTTTCTTTTTTTTTCATTTCTCAACCAAAATTTGCCATAACATAACTTTTGATCCAGTTATATTATTGGAATAAGAACAAAAGGTGATTTTTTCTCGTTCTCTCCTTTCCATTTTCACTCTTTTGACCTTTTCAACTCAACTTTCATATTTAACTTATTATTTGTTGATAAACTAAAAAAATTGCTGTTTTTTCAATATATAANTTTTTTTTTCATTTTTCAACCAAAATTTGCCATAACATAACTTTTGATCCAGTTATCTTATTGGAATAAGAACAAAAGGTGATTTTTTCTCGTTCTCTCCTCTCCATTTTCACTCTTTTGACCTTTTCACTCAACTTTCATATTTAACTTATTATTTGTTGATAAACTAAAAAAATTGCTGTTTTTTCAATATATAATTTGACTGGAAAATTTTTGATCAAGCTCGTTAGCTTTACCCTAAACTTGAGTCATTGAGATCAATCTTGAATTTTTTCATATTTTTCTTGGCATTTGTTGACGTAGATTTTTAATAAAATAAACCCTATAAAATATACCCTATATCGACGGTAAAATTTACCGTGGACCGTGTGAATGGACACTACCAATGTTTTTTTGGGCTCAAATGAAAGAGCGGCTCGAAAAATGGCGTGGAGAAGTCTTTAAAGATGACAAATGTCTCTAAAGATGATGTCTGTTTTCAACTGAAAAGCGCAATTGTGACAACATCGTCCAGTGGGGTCTAGGAATCTCCCCTGGTTCAAAACCATCTTTAGAGGCATCAGCACACCATTTTTCGAGCCGCTCTTTCATTTGAGCCCAAAAAAACATTCATATCTTGTCTGACATCTCTGCTACAAACTCTGGTTTTCAACTCTGGTTTTCAATTAAAACCAGAGTTGAAGACCAGAGTTGTTTTCAATTAAAACCAAAGTTGAAGACCAGAGTTTGTAGCAGAGATGGGAGACAAGATATGAATGTTTTTTTGGGCTCAAATGAAAAAGCGCCTCGAAAAATAATGTGCTGATGCCTCTAAAGANAGCACGCCATTTTTCGAGCCGCTCTTTCATTTGAGCCCAAAAAAACATTCATATCTTGTCTGACATCTCTGCTACAAACTCTGGTTGTCAACTCTGGTTTTCAATTAAAACCAGAGTTGCAGACCAGAGTTGTTTTCAATTAAAACCAAAGTTGAAGACCAGAGTTTGTAGCAGAGATGGGAGACAAGATATGAATGTTTTTTTGGGCTCAAATGAAAAAGCGCCTCGAAAAATAATGTGCTGATGCCTCTAAAGATGGTTTTGAACCAGGGGAGACTCCTAGACCCCACTGGACAATGTTGTCACAATTGCGCTTTTCAGTTGAAAACAGACATCATCTTTAGAGACATTTGTCATCTTTAAAACCATCTTCCACGGTAAAAAGTGGAAACACTGCACGCCATTCACTCATCTTATATGCACGGTAAAAAAAAATTACTTTATATCCACGGTGAAAATCTTCCCTATATCCACGGTAAAAATGGGCCCGATGCACACCACTGCTTTACCTTATATCCACGGTAAGAATTACCTTTTATCCACGGTAAAAAAAATGGGCCTAACGTACCCCACTGCTTGCCTTATATCCACGGTAGAAATTACCATATATCCACGGTAAAATATACCCTATATCCACGGTAAAATTTACCGTGGACCGTGTGAATAGACACTGCCTTCAATAAATACCTCGAAATCTAAGAGAGCTAGCAAAATTTTCATTATAACCTTTTTTGTAGCACTCGCCTCGCTCTCCAAAAGAGATTGTAACGAAAATTTCGTTATTTCCCTTAGATTCGGATATATTCCTCGAAAACTCAGTTAAAGGCTAAATCGACTTGGAAGAAATGAAAAGCAAGTTCGTGGAATTCTGATACTTCTAACTTGTGAATGAAATTTTTGCCATTATCTCCCGCTCCTGGGGTCCGTTTCTACAAGAGTTTTTACTGTGAGAAGTGAGACAGTTGTGACGTGTTTCCTCTATTAGAACAATGTAACACAAAAGCTCCCATTTCATTTCTCACCGTGAAAACTTGTAGAATCGGATCCCTGAGCATTTCCAGAAAAATTGAAACACCCTTCTTTATCACAACTGATTGTCCACTCCCTTCTTCCTGTCATAACCGCCATGACAAGATCGAGATACAAAGAGCTAACTCCTCGAATCCACCTCGAAAATTCACCAGTACCAATCTTCTTCCGACAATACCGTAAATCCACAGCAATCCTGGCAGCCCACCGCGAAGAGCCCACGTGAGCACCACTGTCAACGTGACAGGAGCCCTCGAGGCGGGCAACAAAAACTGCATTCTCTCGAAACAATGAACACTTTGGTTTGCAAACCAGAAACAATACATTACCCTGAAGCACTCGACTCCCCAACAGATAAATACGTCTGTATTATTAAACCGTCAAATCGCTCATCCTTCGACCCCACTAATTGTAGCGTTCGATCCATCGATAAAACTCCCCCTTTCCAACAAACAACGCAATCGAAGGATAAAAGGACCGAAAAATTCGCCCAAAAATTGCATGACCCTTTCCCTCCGCATGATTGACGTGTATTCATCGAAAACGGATATGTTTCCCCCGGCGTTTCAGGTCTATGTTTCACTGTGAATGTTATCATTGGCATGACTCATCGATCAATTCCGTCTGGGTGACACTGATCGGAAAGCGAGAGTGTAAATTCCTTTTCCGACGAAAAATTTTTCAAGGGGAAAAGTAATGTGTCGCCTGGGGCATCATATCGTATTACTCGACAGTACAGTTTTACTCACCAGCTCCAGTGATAGTATCCTTGATCCCTCGGCACCTCCACTTGTCACACGTTAAAACAAAGAGAGAATTACAAGCACTGACAATATGTGAATTAAATAAAAAACACTTGGATCATTGAACAATTTGTTCGATCGAAGGGTAAAAAAATTATAGTACAAAACACACGCGTAACCGGCGAAAGGATCGAGTGTCGGAATCACGCACGCGATTGTATGTATGAAGTTCCTCGGACCGCCATGCACTGACTGGACGTGCCTCAGTCGGAGACTTGCGCATGCCTTCATCGTACGCGCGATCGTCAACCCGTCTCCTCCTTGCCCCGCAAACGCGAATTGAACGATTCATGAACGAATGACATCTGGAGAAATACTGGAGAACACTGCTGATGATCCGTTAGTGGGTTTATCAACGGTGAACAACAAACATGTCAATATAACGCGCTCTATCACTCGTGTTGTTATTGGGAATAATTTCACTACTGGAGTCGTTATTTTTTGGATTTTTAAAAATAGTTACACAACAGGAATAAGATTGGGAAACACAATCGACTGATGGCAATGTATCGATTATCATAAAGGCGTTGGTAATTTACCGGCCGAAGATAATGTATCGAGACTTTGTTTCATTCTCACTTTTTATTCGAAAATGTGTCGCGATTGACATGATGAAAATATTTTCTAAAAAAAAGCATGGGTAATATGTCGAATCGAAAATGAAAAGTCGAACATGGTGGATATTTTGAACGAATGAAGAAAGTTAGGTGGTTTTCATGAGTACAATCGTTTTGCGTCGAGTTTTCATGAAGCTCGCCTAATATATAAAAGAGAATTGAATGCCGCTCTATGAAACTTGAATAAACGAATCATTATTGTCCAAATCATTGAAGTCAGGAGAAAATTGAATAATTATATTGTCTTAATATTGTGTTGACTAAGGTTTTCTTGGAACCAAGTTGATTATAATTGATAGGTAGAATTATGAGATTATTTCACTTTAAACAAATGATATTAGGATCCAAACAGAAAGATATTAATGATATTAGTATCCAAAAAGAAGCTATGACTCAGGGCGCGTTTCGCAATCGACTTAGTAGCAGTAGCAGTGCTGTAACCCTATCTAATTTCGCTTTACTGCAGCGACAGTAGTTGATTCCGAAACGCACCCTCAATGTTCCAAATTAAGGCCCGGGTGGACTATCTTTCGAATGTTATCTCGATGTTTTTTTTCATCTTTCGTCATCTGAAATTGTCAATTAAGTCCTGCATCATGCAGAAGTGTTGACAAATTATGAATGAATAGTCAAAAAAAAGTAGAAAAAATTCTTAATTTTTTCAGAGTATTTTTAATTTATATTCATATAATAAGTTGAATAGCAAGAAATTGAAAAATGTATCTGATTTACGGTGAAAAATGGCGGCCTGTCACCCAATATCATGCAGGGGGAAGACTGATTTCGTAAATCTTTTCCAACACCGCACAGACACATTTATTACGGAAAAGGCTGTTTGAAAAAAGTTGTAATATTTTGGAGAATTTTTTAATCACACTTTTATCCCATAAAAATGGCAGATGACTACATACCAATGTTTTGAAAATTGAGATACCTAGCTGTCATTTCCCATGAGGAGATAGTGTTTTGTTATCCACCATGGAAAATGACAGCTAATAGATAATTTGCCACAGCGAATCAGATATCTGTAATTTCCACTTTTTTCAATTCATTCTGAATCTCAATTAAAAACGCTCTTTGAAAAAGTTCAGAATTTTTTCGATTTTTTTTTATCATTCTATCATAATTTTTGGGAATTTCTACGTGATGTATGACTGAATTGACAATTTTCGATTTCGAAAGATAAAAAAAAATCCAGATAACATTCACAAGATAGTATTTTAAGCACGGAATTATATTGATAAGATGAACAACAGATTAATTGAATTACCGTGAGAACTAACTAAAAATTGATAACAGTGTGGGCACGTACTTTACCAGAATATCAATAAACATTGAACTCCAAAAATTGACACTCTAAAGTGGGTTCTAGAAGGAATTGAATTGTATTTATAATGAAAATCTTATTCAGTCAGCATAGGAATTAGAACATGAAGAAACCATTTATTGTAATATGACAATTTAACAGATAGAACAAATGATTGAACAACTAATCAAAATTTACTTATTTATTTGTTTGTTTTGTCCTTGTTTTCAAAAGATGTTTTCAAAAGAACCAATTACAATTGCACATGAATTTATCAAAACTAACAAGATTAGAGTCGAAAATACTAGAAAATTCAACAGCTTAATATGATTTGGATTGGTCTTATTGCTTTTTGCAATGAGAGTGATTGTAAACAATTAATTGAAATAAAGGAATATCGCTTCTGACAGAAAGAAAGGCATAATAAAACAGCATCAAACCCCGCCTGCTTGTGGCCGATGTGTCGCTAGGAATAAAAAAAAACTTTGAAACAATGATGATAATGCATTACGAAATGTTTCGCATAAATGCCGCTTATCGCGGATGGATAAATCAACCGATTTCATTTGGACAGATCATGATATAAAATCGAGTTTTCAATCATGTTTACATAATTATCATTCGTGCAGTGAATAAAAATGGTATCATGTCTTTTCAACTGCTCAATTTTAACTACATTTTAACTGCTTTGTTTTTTAATTACTACAGTAATACAGTTTTGATGAGTTTGCCAAAATTTTTAACTTTTCATTTTCATTTATTTATTTACTTTTTTTGTTTTTTTAAACACACTTTTAGGAACATACAATTCAAGGACTCAATGTAATTTAATAATAAATATCATACAAATATTTTTAATCAAAAATTTACAAATAATCTATTTACAATCTTGTTTTTTGTTTATTCGAAGAATATTTTTCGAAGGATGTGAACCTTCTAAATTTCGCAAAGCCTGTTTTCCATCTTATATGGAGATGCATTGAGCAATTCCACGCAGATAGCTGTCCATATCGTCCAATGCTTTTTCGCGATTCACGATTTTCGTAAGTCTTTTATCATGATCTCTGTAAGCCTTCCGTTTTTTCCGGACGGGCTGACCCCCATTGGCCTGCGTCCACCTGAGTTCCATCGCAGCCTGTTCGTCCTTAAGGGCTTCAATAAATCGACCCATAGTTGGAATGTCGTAGTCAAAATGTAATTAGTTGAAAAAGTGGCAATTGAAAATCGTTAATTGAAATGTTGTAGTTGAAATGTCGTAATTGAAATGTCGCCTAGTTGAAAAGACTTGCATTCAATAAAAATAGCCATCGAATGATCGACCATTGATTGGAAATATTTGAATGATTACAGACCTGGGAATCCTTCGCATTTAGGATATCCTAAAAACCTTAAATTCCAACCGACCACAGTCATGCATCCCGATCGGTAATGCAGGGATTCTGGATGCGTGCCTCTGATTGGTTGAAATTTAAGGTTTCTAGGATACCCCAAACGCGAAGAATTCCAGTCCAGAACATTTGATTAGTACAAATGTAATCATCAAGTGGGAAATCGAAGAATACGTTGGTGATCGCGGTAACATATCGACAGTCGAACTTTCAGTTCCTCCATTTTATAAACACCGCGTCATGTAACACCAATAGGTAAAATGGCGGCTGCTCTTTCCGATATTAGGCAAGAAATCTTATTCTATATAATTTGAGATGTCTATTTCTCCGGAAATTCATGGAAGGTTCTGGCAGGTTCAAGAAAGGTCCAGAACGGTACAGAATCCTCTAGAAATTTCAATCCTCAAGAAATTTCTGGAATTTTCCGATGCAGAATATTCCAGAAGACCGGAATGTTCTAGGCACCTTTAGGAATTTTGCGATTTAACGAGAAGTTAATCCCTCCCAAAATCATAGAAGGTTCTAGAAAGTTATAAAAAACTCCAGATCGATACAGCAGTTTTCTACGAGGGAATTTTTACATTATTTACTTTGCGTGATTTTATCGTAAATTTACTGTAAAAATTTAAAAAAACTTCTCGATTGATTTGAGAGCTTTCCTATGAGTCCATTTCATCATCGATTCACTCTCTAGATGCTCTGACAATATTTCAAAATATTTCAGACTTTTCTAGTACATGGAGAGAAATGTTCAGTAAAAATTACGGAACTCATAATTCGCTCATCGATTATGGAATCGACTCAGAAAATTTTTCACAGAAGATTCAGGTAAAAATTCCGGAACGCTCTGGAAAAATTCTCTAAAAACAAGAATTCCGTGAAGTTTCGTAAAATTTCCTACAACTATATTTCGCTCCGGAATTATGGAAAAGATACGTAATTTTTATTGAATATTTCTCTCCGTGTATTTACCGCCTAAATTTCGATTTCTGGATGAAAAAAATTGGACTGCCGCAAGGCGCGCCACCAGTCGTACTAGTTGTTTTTTATTGATGTCTTCCAACGATTTTGCAAAGGAGAACACCAAGAAAATAATCAAAAGCACTTAGTAATGACGGGGATTGACTATCCTCTGGAAATGAAAAACCTAAAAATGAGTTTATTGACATTTATATTATTAATTCGTTCGATTTATAGAAGAACATGTAACTTCCCAAAGAGATGTTCAATTTTACATGAACCACAATCGAAATTTGATTCATTCATGAAAAAGAAAACTGAAGATTTTGTAAATAATTCCAGGTGATCACGTTTCGACGAATGAAAGGAATTAACTCTCTCGATTTTTCCGCTTATTCTTACGTCGTTCTTCCTCCCTCCTCAGAGCCCTCCTCTCCCGCCAAATATCTTCTAAATATTCCATCGAAGGGGTCAACATCCCAAACAATGCAGCTGAATAATTACCAATCCCAGGATTGATGAAGACAGCCTTGTCGTCGACAATCCACCGGCTGTATTGGATCTCATTGAGAACTTTGAAGCCTAATCCCCGCGCTAACTCCTGAGTGACACCAGAGGTGAGCAAAGCCACGATGGCAGGTATCTCCAAGGCAATTGCCATCTGGATGAAAGCCTCGAGGAGAGCTGTCCCTAAGCCCTTCGTTTGATAGCTTGGGTGAACACATAGAATATAAAGTCGGAATACCTCGGGGCTATTGAAGTGATTATGGACATCTGCTTGTTTCACTAATGTGTTCTTGAAATCCATTATTTTCTCCAGGACTTCACCTTCATGAATCTATTAATAACACAAATGAAGCGAAGAGAAATTATTTTTGGTGACTAGGCCCGATCAACCGCGCTTTCAATGTCGCTCCGTTCTGTTAAATCGCGCACGGACAATTCACGTCGAGAAATATCCCTATATAGAACAATTCGTGTCCGTAACCAAGGTTTTTCTTTGGTGTCTCTGCTCAAGTGCTTCCTTTTGCATGAAGCATACATGTAGTATACTCATTGGAAAGCTTATTAAATAAGCTTCATAATGACACCTGATTTGTCCAATTCTGACTATTTCTCATTGAATTATGGGACTTTTAGGCAAAAATTGAATTTTTATGTTTCCACTTGGGAAATTAATTTTGTTGGATTTTTCAATACTTCTAAATGGACTAGACAGAGATATTTATACATCATCCTGAAGAGCAATTACTATTCCTTAAAATAGTGTATAATAAATCTGATGTAATTGAATTTTCATCAAGTTCTTGCAGATTGATTCCTTTTTTTACGTTATGTCACACCTAAAAAATGACAGTTTTTGCCGTTTATCGAGGTCTTAGAATTGACCAGCAGGCATATATCGTATGTCAATTTGAAGGTCTCATCGAGATCTTCGAACTCAGTCCGCATACCATCTATTTCATCCACTAGATCAATTGTTACAAGGGATTATGTAGCGATTTGAGCATGTCACGTTTTGAAAATTTCCATTTTTTTCCTCTTAACCGCGAAATTTGCTCGGTTTATGTTCAAATCTGTGGACATATTCTATACTGAGGTGAGAACACATGTAATTACCTTCAAATTGATCCTTGAATTATTTGATGAACTTCAATTTTCATCAATTCAATTTTTGAAGTTTTTATTCAAAAATTGAATTTTATGATTTTTATTGTGAATTTAGCTAGAATTGAATTTCTATATGATTATGGGTCCAGTAAATGAAATTTCTTATATCTCATTTTGAAGAAGAATAAAGGTTCTTCAAAAAGAATATTCAAAAACTTAATGAAAAATTAAATTAATCAGATTTACGGTACATGTCATACTTTAAAAAATGACAGTTTTTGCTATTGATCGAAGATTTAGACTTGACCAGCGGAGATATATCATATATCAATTTGAAGATCTCATCGAGACAGAAACTTCTTGACTTATTATGCCTCCAAAATCAAAAATTCTTGGACGTTTAACAATTTTTATGAAGCTGATGAGTTATTCCTACGTTCCGTTCCGTAAAATTTCTCAATCATTGGGGAAAAATTATAGAACAACTTGTTGTCCGCACAGCGATGAGTCATCAGATGGGAGGTTAATTTTTACGAAACAAATCGTAGAATTTACGTGACGATTCGTACAATTTCAGTTCCGACTCACACTTTTTATTGAATTTTACTTCGCTCGCGGATTACGTTTCGAAACGTAATTTTCACGGTTTTTTAATGAATTTTTCTCTCCGTGAAATTCTATTGGAATTATAGCGAAATTTATATTTGTTCTTAGTTGATTTTTATACAAAATTTTACAGAATTTGAAAAACAAATTCTGCGCGAGACAGATATTTGAAACAAAAAGGTCAATGGCCTCATTTTTTGTGATTGTCTTAATTTTTTTAAATAAAAAATTCTTCGGCAGTAAATTTCATTCTTCTCGCACCTGTTCCCCTCATGTTTACATTGCACCAAGGGTGATAAAAAAATAACGGAACAGACCACCGTAAAAATTCATTGTTTGTGAGAAGCAGTGTTGCAATTTTGCCTTCTCAACAGGTTGTCTCCAGGAAAACTCATAAATATCACTTCTTCGGTTAAAATTACCTTTCCATTCAAAAAAAAAAATTCGGACTAAGAAGGGAACATTAATTTCTCGTCTCACAGTTATTCTCTAATTTCTGCAAAAAATCGCGGAATAAGCATTCTCGCACACAATTATGCGAACTGTCACGTAATTTTTCCTGAAGTTTTTTTCTCCGTAAATGATACATTTTATTAGACTTTCCCTTCATTAACCTGCATTCTTGAATAAGTAATGCTCCGATCTACTTCAATATTAGGCCTTGCAATAACAACGCCCACAACTCGTTCAGATTTGGTGCTGACAGCGACAAGACTCGACGTATCCTTCATCCACACGCGAATGTACTCCAAGTAACACTCGACAGACAGTGGATCCTCTGACAGTCCCGCCGATGCACACATCGGATCGTCCTTAAAGTAGTGCCGCTGCGAATGTAAGTGGATAGGGAACTCTATGGACGTGTATGATATTGTATGACATGTGGGTAATGAGGGACTTTCTAAATGTCATTGTGAAGGCTCATTGTTACTGTGGGCACCTTTATTATCGTTTTATTTTTACTCTGAGGCACCTTTATTAGACGTAATACTTCGCCGAAGTGTTGAGGCTGCAGGTCTAGGATCTTGCAGGAGTCTATTGAAGGCCATTCCAATGGAGCTTTCATTCTCTCCTGCATTTTCAGGAGCATTTCGTCTCTTTGAACGTCTGAGGCTGTTCTTCCTTCTTCTTCCATCTTTAAATTTAGTGATTTCTTTCATCCGAGTTTTTTAAACCTAAATTACAAATTGAAGGAGAGAATTCGTCAATTTTGGGAGTGGATGTGAACAATTAAGTTATTGTTATTATCAAAGTTCAGAAATGAAGAAGAGGGAAAAAATTCTAAAGTTTGATTACATTTTAAACAGTTTTGTTAAATTTTTTAATGGAGTATTTTTTTGCAGTTATTAGGTATGAATAAATTCTGTAGAAAAAAAAATTCTAATGAAAATGGCGCGGTCGTTCTGGCGATTTTTCGATAATCACTCAATCGCAAGAATTTCAATTTTTTAAATAATTTATTCTATTGGGGTTTTCTGTAAAACGAAATTCTTGAGCATAAATTTTTCGAGTTTCTCCACTGTATTTTTTCTTCTTTGCAACTACAAAATCAAACAAGTTGGAAATTGTTTTCGTCATGACATAGTCAATACATTTCTGCTAATAAATTAGTCTATTTCTGTCGAATGGAATTTCTATGATGAAATAATTTAAATTGAATTCAACGTTGCCCCTATGTTAGTGGCGAATATTGTCCCAACGTTGGCAGCCAACATTGTCTCAATACTGGCAGCCAATATTGCCCCAACGTTCAAATTTTTTACCTTTCTCTGAATATTCGTTTTAAAATGTTTTTCAATAACAGATGATGCAATCAATTTCATGATCAAACTCGGTCAAGAGGCCATTGGAAAGAATATTCCAATTCATAATTGCAATATAAAAACGATCGGCTACATATATACATACATAATGTGAAAAAAAATATATTTATTTTTGCCAAATATCCATTCACTTGAGAGAAGTATTTATGGCAGACCAAATTTTTTCTCTCAGTGAAGAGACTCCTTCATATAGTTCCTGCAGAAAACGATATAATTCCGCTAGAATGCGCAAGTTTTTTATTCAGTTTTCTCAAACGTGATTCGACCTAGATCAAATCATAAAAATACCAGATTATACTCTCTACTAAAATTGAGTATATTAATAAACGGTTTCATTCATTCATTCAAAATCTCATAACCATAGAAAAACCAATCTCGCATGAAAGTTATCTCCACTGGCGCAGAAAATGATAAACAATTTCCTCACCCAACCCATGCGACACGTAACTATTCAACGTATTTCATCATTCCCACAAAATTAAAATGCATCTTTTGTCAATTAACACACCTGAAATAATCTAATCAAACCATCACACTCGACAGATTTAACATTGACACTTAATCCAGAGCGAAATCAAACCTCAACTTTCTAGTTGCTAAACAAATTAACAGCAAACGCTCGAACTCTCCATTAACCTGTTCACTCAAAGTTGGGAGTAAATAATCGAATTGATCTGCTAACCGCAGGAATGCTACGAGCAAACTTTTTTCAATAAGAATATGCATTTACTCGCATGCTTCGTCGCTCTGTGCAACCTCCTTATGTCTCTTCGAATAGTTCATGTCCACATCGAGGTCGAGTCGGACTGGAGTGAAAGTCATTAGATTCATCAATGAAGCCTGATTTGCAGTTTGCAACTCAAATATTCATGCGGAAATTCCACGCGCTCAATTAAATTAGTTAATAACACATGTTCTTTTGCTCAATCACGTTTATTTATTTATTCCAGAAGAATAAAAAATCTGGGAAAATCCAAGAAAATGCGACAGCGTTCTGTTCCTCGTTACAATAATTCATTAATTCGTAACCACGTGGTTTTCCTTGACAAATCGACCGTTAATTACAAATTTGATTCGTATGACAAGCTCGATACGTTATACTCCAACAGCTGATTGACGACGAGTTCCAGTTCTCGTAATCATGTTGACGATGACTGGTTTCATTCTTATTCATCGGTTTTTCCATCCTCGGGGAGTGATTATATGATTCTTCCTTCTCTGATTGACAGTTTTTTTTTTTTTTACAATTCGTCTTTGCGTGGAGATGATTTATTCGATGTGTCTACACTTGCACGGTGCGGTAATGATGCCCATAATTCCATTCTGTCTTTCAGCAGATGCTTTGACATCTTCAGATTCTTTGAATTATTGATTAATAAGTACTCGAGGGCTTCTGTCCTCACTGGCTTCCATTTCAGGGGAAGTTCTGGGGTTATCGTTGGTGTGGGATTTCTGAAATGATAAAAAAATTTAAGTTAATTGTAAACATTCATCCAAAAATTTTGTAGAAAAATATAGCACATTGGGTAGAAAATTCTATTGGATTTGTAGAACTTCTAGCAGTAATTCTACACGGAGAAAAAAGTTTGAGAAAAATTACTGGATAAGTCAAATAATCGTGGAACGAACGAGATTTTCAGTACTTTTTCACCTTATAAGGTAAATGACCGTACGCTCGTCTAGCTAAGGTGAACACATCATTAGTCCAATATTTCTATCGAAATGAGCGTGAAGATGCGATGATTTAAATTACTTATCAGAGGGTAAAACTTTCAGTATTAGAATTTATTTATATTAATTATGATAATTACTATTTTTTAATAAATAATCGTCCATGAATGTGAAAAGTCCCATGTCCCTACGCTCGTTCATTTGTCCCCATGCTCGTTTCACACATGTCTCTATCATCGTCTCGTGATTTGATTGATATGGAAAGGTTATATCCGAATCAATTACATCGTGAGTATCCTATTTTGTGATAAAACAACATTAAAAAATATCTCGATGCACAAAATTATATTTCCATTGGACAGTCCAACCTTTTAAATGATTTTTTCATCCGTTTAGTCCGTTACTAGTTGACAGTTGGATGCAAAACGAGCGTAGGATCAATGCCATTTTCATTGTACCTATTCTTTTAATTGGCAATATTTCAGTGAAATATCCGGATATTACTATAATTTATGCATTTTTATTAAATTTTCAACTATTCGAAACCTTCGCCAAGGGATTTTTAATTCCATTTTACTATTGTAACGGAGATATCAACGTTTTAAAATTGTGAGTTTCTTAACTTGTGGCTTAAGAATTAACTCTGTCGTAGCACGAGTTGATGTAAATGTGATTTTTCTCTCTTATTATTCAATAAATCATTCTGCATTGGTGTCTATAACTTTTCTTATTGATTAAAATAATAACTCCAATCGTACTTCACTCTTAATAGACTCTTGGGACTATCAAAATGATTGAAATGTCATAGCTGGCAGGATCTGAACGAGTGTAGGTACACAGACGGGCATAGGTACATTTACCTTACTGTTAAAAAGTTTCGTCTAAATTTTCCGTGCTAAATTCTGGAAATTTTTATCGCGTTCACATTCCACTGAAATTTCAAGAAATCTTCTCATTGAAAAATCAAATATTTCATTGATTTTTTGTTCAAATGATGTGGAAATCAATAAAATACTGGATTTTTCAGTTCAATTATTCTGTGAAAATTCAGAAAAATCAGGAAAATTCAGGGAAAAATTGAATAATCCTTTCGTTTGGTTTCTAAATATTCATGTTCCACTGAAAATTCAATCAAGTTGTGAAATTTCCATCTCACTTCCACTAAGAACTCATGAATTTCCGTGAATTCTACTTGAAACTTGAAATTTTATAACCTTTTTTTCCCTAAATTCGATTCAATGTCATTCTCGTGGAATTTACTATAACATCTTCCATGAAAAAAATCAAAGAATCTCTTTAAAAGAACCTCTCATAAAATGCTCCATAAGTTTGTTGACTAATTCCTTTAAACTTCTCTCTTCCATAGATATTTTTACAATGACTCATTTGGAGTGAATTTAAGTTTACCCAGTCTTTGCGAAATTGGTCCATAACTTCGTCATAATATCAGCCATCCTGTGATCCTCTTTACTGAATGGAGTATCTTGGAACAATTGTTCGCCAACGGGGAAGAGGTACTGAAGCTCATCAGCGTGAGAAACCCCATAATCGTTAGTTTCATCACCAAATATTCTAGAGAATGATGCACCACCTCTGTATGCGAAGTAGTAGTAGTAGACTGGGCTTGCTAGGACTTCTAGGTGATCTCTGATCGCCATGTCAGCACCGACGTTGAACCAAGCATCTGAGTACATCTGCATGGAGAGAAATTTCTTAGAAAAATCCTGGTGATAACACTGGAAATTCTAGTGAGAAGCAAGTGAATTTTTCTATTTTTATGAAATTTTTACAGAGCTTTCAAGAATTTTACCAAAAATTCTTAGAAATATTAGCAGAAACAACTAAAAATTTTACGTGATCAACATCATCACTAGAATGTTTCGTAGGCGGGAGATGTGATTTTTTATATTACTAGCACTAAAAGTTTCCTCAGAAATTTCTTTGTAATTTCAGCATAAAATGATTATGAAGCATTTGAAGATTGAAAAGATATTATTGAAAGAGATTTTCCGTGAAAAACTTCGTGGAATACAGAAAATATTTTTCAATAATTCTCTAAAATCTCAGCATTCCCAAGGGAATTGAATCTCTTTTCATTATTTTGAAATAGTAATAATCTCCCGTTACTCTCAATTTTTTTTTAAATATAAGATAATGAGTTACATCGATGACGTTAAATCTGTTGGACTCATGCGCAGGTTTATCCCCTAGATAGAATTTACGAATTTTGCTCGACACATAATCGTGATACTCCTTGGGACACGTGTCTTCGTACCCCAGGGACAACGGCGCCAGCTCCATGAATCTTTCATTGAACATCTTGACGTATTCTTTGCCTTTTATCCCGTAGAGAGCTGATAATAGAAAACGTGATGCGTTTATTTTTCATCGAAGAAGTATGCCATTGGACTCCAGCATTAACAAATTTCCTACCTCTCTGGGCCATTTTGAGATAATGAAGTGGCAATTTTTAATTGTGAAGATGAAAACGAGAACTCTACATACATCATCAAAGCTTCAACGATGGATCGCTAGGGTGAAAATTTATTCCGAAGCTGTGGGTGTAAATCGAAATTATCACAAAAATTCTATCGAGTTGTTGATATCAGCACGTATGAAAAACATCAATAGAAAAACCGTGCGCTTTCTCTAAGTAATTCGATTGACTTTTTATTAGAACTCCATGAGAATTCTATTGCAGTTCTATTCGAATTCTATTAGGAAACTCGATTTACTTTTCGTGCCAATTCTATAAAAATTATGCAATTTTGCCGTCAATTCTCTTTTCATTCCGCTGCAATTTTTGCCATTAGAATTCTTGAGCATGGATTTTCGACGTCTTTTCTTTATATTTTATTTTGAAGAACAAAGAAAAATACCACAGTAAAAACAGGTAATTAATGCCCAAGAATTTCTGGACAAAGACCAAAATTTATCAACTTTGTTCCTATGTAATATCATTTGAAATATGGCACGGCAAAGTTGCAGAATCTTCGGTAGAATGGGTACAACAAATTAGTAAACTTATTTATTAAAAATCCCACAGAACTACAATAAAGGTCTTTTAGAGTGCGAACAGGAATTCAATAGAATCTTTTGAAGGAAGCGGTCGATTTTTCCATTAAATTGTTTCATACGCGAGAGGTTCTGCAGATGCCTTATGAAGCATAAGTTTATATTGAGAATTAATTATCATAATTCCCTATCTTGGAACAGAATCTTCATAATTGTTTTTGATTGTCCCGAAAATTCAAAATAAATTTTCACTCTGATGAGGAATGCATTTAGCCTTCGGAGCGTTGGGTCTATGGTTATGTAAGGAGAGTTTTTGTTTTCATCCTTACAATTTAGAATGACTACTTCATGACCGCAAATTGGTCCAGAGGAGAAATTTCAGGCACAAAAAAAAATTAATAAAAAAATTGAGCGAATTCGCTAGACAATTCTATTGGATTTCTATTGAACTTTCTCTTATTTTTTTGCTGATTCTATTAAAATGTTAACTAGATAATATTCTGTTGAAACAATCAACAGAATTTTATTTTTCCATACAACTTATTCTATTGAGATATTTTTTATAGAATTGCCTCGGTTCCAATTTTTAAAGTTTTTTGCATTCTTTTCTCATTTTTTTTCCGTCATGAAAATGAAACGAAAAACCTTTGAATCAAGGAAATTCTATTGAAAATATCTCAATAGAATAAGTTATATAGAAAAATGGAATTCGATCAACTTTTTCTATAGAATATTTTTTATTGAACATTTCAATAGAATCGGCCAAAAACTAATAAAAATTTCAATAGTACTACAATAAAATTGTCTACCAAATTCACTAGGTTTTTCTATTAAATTTTTTCTTGTCTGTTAGTTTATTCTTTATGAGAAATCAGTTTTATTCCTTTACCAGCAACTTTGATCGCGCCCTCCTGGGAATTGAATCCAGTCATCCAAGGAATGTCGGCCATGTTGCCATTCTTTAGAGTTTGAGCGGGCTCTTCCTTCAGGAAAGCACCTGGATGATCGGGTTCTATGACGGGTCTGAAGGGGATCATAGGATCATAGTCGAAAATCTTTAGAAACAAAAAATTAATTAATTATCAAACCCAAATCGATAAATGATGAGTTTGAACTATTCAAAGTGATTCAGTAATTCAAATAATCGTATTCATCTCAGAGCAAAAACAGCCTAATGGATAAGGCAAATATAATTTCGCATTCTCATTGCACCTAATGGACATAATAAAAAATGTTTTGCATGTCGCGTGTTCTCTGAATTAAATTCATGATCACTGAACTGGAATCTGTCGACAAGTAAAGTTTTGCTGACACTGCAATTCAAATAATGTCGAAACGAAAATTTCCGTTGGCGTAAGAAAGATTACATCAATGCGCGCATATCCCGGTTAATTATGCAAAATTCAAGAGCGAAAAACCAGTTTTTAACACGTTAAATTTTGAGATTACTTCAATATTGTTTATGACAATACCGCAATCTTTACATCCACACGCGAATGAATGTTCTCAATTCCTACTAAGGAGGGGGAATTTTGCATAAACCGTGATTTTAGATAATGAGATCAATTACAAACGGCATTACCGTGATTTATTTGAAGTGTCCAAGATTGCTACCCATATAACTAGATTCTATTTTCCTCCTGTGCAATCAGTACCAATTTGATCGTTAGAATTTATGTCCAATTTCTTTGAATTGAGTCGGCATGTTATATACTTGTATTCTTCACATGGAAAATTGTGCCACAATTATCTTAATTTTTCCAATCTCCGGTACATACAGTTGCAAAATTACATCATGAACGACGTTAATCTCACTTGCATGTGAAAACTTCATGGATGATTTCGTGCAGCCATTAATATAATGTCAGTAGGACATAGAATGGATTGACCGATTTAGAATAATTTCATACAACTTCATGAAAACTTGTGCCTTTCGAATATGTTCTCATGCCTATTCTAAATTCGCCCCCTCGTTAATCACTGAAAACCCATCGGCAGCTATTTCATTATCGGTTCACCTGGAATTTACGATCAGTAGCAATGATTTCCACATGGTCTTTCATCTTCAAACATGACAAAAGTTCAGCTGAACTCTTAGTTGGACAGTTAAGGTATTCTCCAAGACGGTTAGCTTGTTGTTTAGCAACTCCTGGTCTCGTAAGTACCCACGGACATAAAGCAGTTCCACTATGTGAAATTCCACGATGGAAATAATCTAAAAAAAACAGTGATGGCTTAGGTATGTTAATCCAACGTGATTTCAAAGTCAAGGATAATGTGATTATAAAACTCATTACATGGATTACTCATGATAATGTTTTTAATGTAAAAGAAGAAAATGTTTTTACGTATTCTGAAAACCACTTTGGCATGATTTCCATTGGTTTCTCTGAATGTTTTATGAATGGTAATTGTCGGAATATTAATTATCGATTTAGACAAAGATCTTTCAGTGGGACTGAATATTCGCAATGAGTACCTCCAATTAACTCCTATTGAGTTTTTATCTCAGGCAACACGTACGAAAGAAATCAATAGATATCCTAGCACTCTTGATAGAGAATTATACACTGAGAAAAAATAAGTGTTTGGGACGTACGTCTTTACTTATACTAAGAAACTATTGACGCGAAAATTGTCAAGAAATAAATATCTTACACAGAGAAAAGAAACCTTTCGTCCAGAGATTTTGCACGCGTTCGAAAGATAAGGGGAAAATCAAGGGATTTTTGCATTAAAATATTTTCGACTTGAGATTTAAAAAATAGGGAGTAAATTGATCGAACTAGAATTGGTATGAGAAATCATTTTGTTGTCATAAACAAATTATCCTCGTCATTGAGAGAAGTACAAAATCTCTCGACGAAAATTTTTCTTTCTCAGTATAAGATGTTTTCTTCTTGTCAATTTTCGAGTCATGAGTTTGTTGATACCAGTGAACATCTTATCAAAAAATAGTTCTTCTCAGTGTACTGAATTTCTAGTGAAATTTTTTACATAGACATTTTTGGACGTAAATTTTTTACACTGAGAGAAAGAACGAATTTCTAGAAGCAAACCAATTTTTGCCACTATCTTTTTCGTATGGAGAATAATCCCGGTTCCCCTCCTACCTCATCCAAATCCCATCCAATCATTTCCTACGACGTCACAAAGATGTGGAACGCTATATAAATTCCCTTCTTTAATGTAATCTTCTTTCTGTAATCCCCTTATGTAATTCCCTTCTTTAATGTATTCTTTTTCTCGGTTGGTAGTAGAAAAATTTATGGATTGTGAGAAGAATGAGCAATCTTGCAAACAACTCATTCAGGTTTGTCGCAATGAATCATGATCTTTGGGACGTTAGACGTAAGGGAAGGGGTTGTCGTCATATGCATGTACTAGGAAGTTTGAAATAAATTCCAAAAAATAGAGGAGGATTTTGTGATGCAGCAATTTTTTGGACCAAAAAAATGTTTTTCCTAATTTTGCGGGGCGATTAATGCAGGGGTGGGGGTGATCCTCACATGCTTGCACTTGGAAATTTAAAATCGATTTCAAAAAATAGAAAAGGATGAAAAGGTCCGTACTACTCTGTAGTACGGGATTTTGCGATCTGATAATTTTTTGGAGCCAAAAAAAGTGTTTTTTTTTCCTATTTTTGGGGTCATTAACGCGGGGAGAGAGTGTGGAAGTTGCCACCATATTCAAATACTAGAAATGATGGATTCAATTCCTATAAATAGAGGAAGGGTAAGGTACCCAATTAAATAGGATTTGGCGATGATACAGTTCCACTGGTATATGCGCAAGAGTACAACCCCCTCTCCACCCTTTTGAATACCATTCTTGTGGAAAGAATGGATTAGTTATTGGTAATCTCAATATACGATTCTCAAAAACCCACATGTCACTAACTTTCCTTTCAAAAATGGAGTTATTTGTATCAAAAACCCTTGTTCTTACGTCAGGAATGAAATTTCTTGTAACCATTGGTTATGCGATTGATGGAAATTCGTGAGTGGGTCAAGAATGCATGGACTCGCGAAACGGTCCCAGCAAGAATTCACCCAATTTTTACACGAATACCCCTAAAGACACAAGAGGGATTCCATGCTATTTCAATAGAATACAATAGTATATTTCGTAACGAGTGCAAAAAAGTGTTTTTTGCACTTGTTACGAAATATACTATTTTGAAAGCTGCTGCCTTCACCTCGTACCGAAAAGTGCCTTTTCGTTTACTTGTAAATAAATAGTATATTTCGTAACGAGTGCAAAAAAGTGTTTTTTGGCGAGTGATATAATCCCACGAGCCAAAAAACATTTTTTCACGAGTTACGAACAATATTTGTCATCACAATGTGCCGGAAAGTGGACTTTTAGGCACGCTCCGCGTGCCGAAAAGTCCACTTTTCGTCACAGCGTGATGACAAATATTGTTCGACACATGTAAAACGGGAATTTTCGACTCGTGTGATTGGCAGTCCTCGGCTTCGCCTCGAACCGCCAACTTCACACTCGTGAAAATTCCGTCTGACTCGTATCGTCCACGGAGAAAATCATTTGGTGAATTTGACCAACTAGTTGGTGAAATTTAACAACGAATTAAATAAATTCAGAAAGGATTTTTCAATTTCATTCAATAAATTTTGACTACCAAACTAGATGGTGAGGGCATATATACATTTGGAAACAATCCCGCAATCATTTATATCTTGACAATCCATGAATATCTCCCTTAGAAGATATTTTTGCAATAAGCTACAATTCCTTGTTAAATTTCACCCATCAGATAAATCGACGAACGTTTAATGAAAATTTAACAAATGGTTGTCGAATGAAATTGAAAAATCTTTTTTCTGAATTTTAATTAAATAGTTGTTAAATTTTACCAACTAGTTGTTGAAATTCAACAACTGGTTGGTAATTCATTTTTTCAACAACTAGTTGGTAAAATTCACCAAATAATTTTCTCCGTGTAAATATTTTCTTGAGGGGTGGCTCTTCGGCCATCGTGGGTAGAACTTGCGTGGGTTCGTTTTTGCCAATTTAGAATCGGTCTTTTATGTTGGGGAAAAGTGAAAGGGTGTTGTACGTATTACCGGACGTGCCAGGCACCTGAGGGATTAATAATTCCTATTGGAAGGTGTATTCGCCAGAAAATATTTTGTTGGCCCAACGCTGTGCAGTTAAATTGCACTTCACACCCCGTGTTGTAAAGTTCCAGTTAACAACACGGCGTATGACAAAATAGTTTTCACCTTGTAAGAGATGTATACTACTCACCGAAGGCCAGTGTTTCTCACGAATATCTAAAGCTATTTTCAATCACAACGCAGGTGAAGTGGTATTTCGCGCACGCGGACGTGACAGAAAATCGTTCACGTGTAAACTTTTCCATTTTATAACTTTGTCCAACTATGATGTATTTCATGAGTTTGAAGTATACGTCAATCGCAATATTTATCCAAAATAATCTTGAAGTACCTCGCGAGAGAGGACTCATCATATGATAATGGGTACTCGCACCACCAGCACTTTCGCCGAAAACTGTCACCTGATTTGGATCACCACCAAAGGCTGCAATGTTTTCATGAACCCATCTAATCGCTTGCGACTGGTCCTTCATTCCCTGATTGCCAGGCGAAACCAAGTCTTCTGTGCTCAGAAAACCTAGTGGTCCCAATCTGAATAGGGGAAACAGAAGTGATAGGAGAGGAACCAAAAACGCTTTTACCTTAGACCAAAGCTCGATGAGAAGGTAACTCATAGTTCAGTCACCTGAAGTTGACTGTCACCAGTACAACATCGTGGTCGAGCAGGAATTTGGGTCCATAGAACTCCGAGTGACCGGCTCCAGTCACCCACCCACCACCGTGGAACCATATCATGACGGGATAGTTGACAAGTCCCTTAGCATTGGAATCTGGCAGCTTCGGAGTGTAAACATTCAAGTACAGACAATCCTCTATTCCAACAACTTCCTCCTGATGAGTATAAATATTCCGCTGCGTACATATAGCTGCATCCTCCTTAGCAGATCGCACGCCTCTCCAAGCGGCTGCCGGTTTTGGAGGCTGCAAGTTATTGGGATTTACAAAACCGCAGGAAATTGTAGAAATATTCTTGTCTTGCAGTCTCGCAAATAGGTAAACATCACACTATCAATTAAGCCACTGCGCAATAGTCACTTGTTGATGATAATTACGTTCAAACATGCGAGCATTGCTTAGATTATTGTGATTGAAATCTGAGACTAACGGATGGTTTTTGGCTGGGAATGAACACGGAAAAAGAGATATTTCCAACACTTGGAAATTTTTTGAAATTTTATGGAAGATATTATAGTAAATCTCATGGGAGTGATATTGAATCGGATTTAGGGAAAAAATGGTTATGGAAATTTCAAGTTTTAAGTAGAATTCCCGGAAATTCATGAGTTTTCAGTGGGAGTGAGATGGAAATTTCACAACTTCATTGAATTTTCAGTAGAACATACAACAAAATGACATGAATGTTCAATTTTTTCCTGAATTTTCATGATTTATCCGAATTTTCACAGAATAATTGAACTGAAAAATCAAGTATTTTATTAATTTCCAGATCATTTAAGCAGAAAATCAATATAATATTTGATTTCTCATTGACAAGATGTCCTGAAATTTCAGTGAAACGTGAATAAGATAAAAATTTCCGGAATTTGTCATGAAAAATTCAGACGAAAATTTTGAACAATGAATAAAGAAGAAATATTATTGAATTAAATTGTTGATTCAAAAATATTTTTCATTTTTGTTAGCAAAAAAATGCAACTCAATTCGTAAGAGTTGCATTCAAGTCAATTTAGAGGGAAAATGATTATGAAATTCCATGTTTTAGGTAGAATTATAGGCTTTAGAAGAACAACTTACAATTTTAAAAATTGTCTTTTAACTTGTCATCATCTTTCTGAATTTTTATGGAATATTTCAACTCAAATTTACAACTTCCATTGGATTTTTTAGTATCAAAATTTCCTGAAATATTAATAGAAATGTTATGTGATGAACGTTTCCAGGATTTGACAATTAAATTCAGACATAAATTTTTAATTGTTCCATGCCGCGCAAAAAATCCAGTGTCAACTGCATTACAGTCGGTCTTTTCTTACTAGTAACAAATTTTCTTCATTATTCATACAGCTTCAAATTCAATTAATTAATTCAAAAAATGATCAAAATTTTTACGTGTCCCAGGAAAAATTGATTATTAGAATGAGGACAGAATTATTATTCATGGAGACAATTATCTCAACTTTATCACAATGAAGATGTTCATGAGGTAACACGATACGTGAAGAAAAAGATTTGTTAGAAGCAAAAAATTTTGTTTACGTGTGAACTCACGGAAAATTTCCTACCTCAAACCTTAAGTCACCGAGCGGAGGAAGTGCATAGGGGATTCCTCGAAACGCTGGGAATTCCCTCCCATACCTCGTCTTCATGAGGGACCCCTCTAGAGTTCCGTTTTTGATTTTCACAATCAGCGATGAAGAGACAAAAACACCACAAAATGATATCGCCGCGATGATTTTTAAAACCTCGCCTGCTGCTGACATTTTCCACGTGATAATTCTAATCTCGAAATTTGTAATTGAATAGTGAAACAATCGCCTAGAGTAACCGCTCACTCAGTGGAGGTAGGGACTCGACTGCTGAGAGGTGAGAGATTGTTCGGTGCGCGTGTATCATTAAACCAGATGATACTGGGTGCTTTATAGATTTCTGTGTGGAAGGAGGAAAAGGAGACGATGGAGGAGATCGGAAAGAGCCGTCATTGCGGATATAATTATCCATGCGTGTAGGTGAGGTAGTCTGCATGAAGCGATTGCTCAAATTCTTGAGGACAAAAAATTAATGGAAGAAGGATGTAGCGCTGTAATTGATGAGTAGTTTTTACAGGAGTAGATTATCGTCATTAGTGTTGCTATGAACATTCAATCAACGGGCTTATGCATGAATTCAGGTTCCATCGGGCGATGCATTCACTACAGAACTGATTACACTTCCGTTTAGATAAGTCTGTGTGATTTGAAGTTTATATTCAAAGACGAGGACAGAAAAGTCTATTGAAATGTTCAACTCTAAATATCCTTAAGGCATATCTCAAGAAACACGCCCAAAAAAATTTAATTTAAATTTAATTTTAGAAAAACCTAGCGAATTCGTCATAAAATTCTATTGGATTTCTATTGAACTTTCTATTAGTTTTTGGCCGATTCTATTGAAGTGTTCACAGAAAATATTCAATAGAAAAAATCAATAGAATTCGATTTTTCTATATAACGTACTCTCTTCAGATATTTGCTATAGGATTTCCTCGGCTCAAATTTTCTAAGTTTTTTTCATTCCATTTTTCTTTTCTTCTCATCAAACAAAAAAAATCAAACAAAAATCAGAAACAACAGAAACCAGATGAACAGAAATCAGAAGAACAGAAAATCAAACAAAAAACTTGGAAAATTTGAGCCGAGTCAATTTTTTAGAAAATATCTCGATAGAATAAGTTGTATAGAAAAATCGAATTCTTTTGACTTTTTCTATAGAATATTTTCTAGTGAACATTTTAATAGGGTCGGCCAAAAACTAATAGAAAGTTCAATAGAAATCCAATAGAATTGTCTAGCGAATTGGCTAAGTTTTTTTATTAAACTTTTTCATCAGTGCAATATTATCCAAAAACTAGTCCCTATGGATTTTGAGAAAAAATTCTGACTTAAGGACCGCGTGTATTATCTTTTGAACGTGATCTGGGTTATTTTTTTTATTTTTATAATCTGAAATGTTCTTCAATTGCTATGCAGTTTTACATAGCCCTGGACTCTTCCACAATTATGATTATACAATAAAAAAATGTTGAAAAAAAAAAAGAATATTTTCGAAGAGCGGTTTTGAATAATATAGGAAAATAAACCCAACAGGGAGGAAATTGCAAATGCATAATGTAATGTTGCCAATGTCTGTCAGATCGTTGGTTGCAATGATAAATTATCCATTTACAATTTCCTCTCTGTCGGACTTATTTCCTAATCTTTATTAAAAAGCTTTTTGAAAATGTTCAGTTTTCTTTTCTACTTTTTTTCATTGCGCAATCATAATTGTTAGGGACACCTACGTGACGTAAAATCCAGTAGAAATTGTGATATATTTTAGATTATAAAGATGGAAAAACAATCGAGATAACGTTCGAAAGATAATTCATCCGGACGTTAATTTATTGCATTCTCATAAGTTAATGAGTTTTTCTATTCTCATATATTGTTGATGGAGAAGAAATGATTAATCAACCAATTATTTGAATCAAATAAAAAAAGATTTCATGACACTTCCATTTTTTAGAGTTGAATATCGCAGAAACTATGTACGATAAAATTTTAAATACGATTCACCGTATTCGGAATTGATCCTCTTCTAAAACTGCTCTACCCATGGTTCAAGTATCTTTTGAAATATTTCTCAAATTTGTAATTCTATCTTAAAGAAACTTTTCATGGGCGTTACACTCCGTACTAAAATTTTCAATATCACTCGTTTTTTTCCTCACATTAGAGTGGGCTGTCAAGGAAAAGGGATATGTTTTACCTGTAGAAAATTGCAGTAACCGTATGAAATTGTGAGAACTTTTCGAATCACAACGCTTATAAGAATCTTACAACAATGTCTATTGACAGACATGGCTAATCTAAATCTCATATACCACAAATCGATAAGATTTCATATATAATCATCCCATATAAATGTTTTATAAAACATCACTATATCATTGTTTCATCCGTACGCTGTTGAAAAAAATTGGATGAATTTTCTGGGAAAACACCGTTAATTTGATTTAAGGAGAAAAAGTCAATGGAATTTCAAGTTTCTCTTAAAATTCAAGTAAAGACCTAATTTTTTAGCGGCAGGGAGATGAAAATTCCATAACTTACATGAATTTTTGAGTGAAAATGAATTTTCGCTGCGAACTTTCCTTGAATTTCCAGAAAATTTCTTAAAATTTTTCGGAATTCCAGGAATTTTGAAGGAATTCCCTAAAAATTCAGCGTAATCTGTAATTCAAGGAGGGATTTTTCAGAATTTTGTAGATTTTTCAGTAATTTTCATTCAAAATTAAACTGAAAGTTATAGTTTCCATGAGTTTCTCCATGAAATTATGAATTTTTAATAATGAAATTGCTTGAAATTCCAGTGGAAATGTTATTTGTTAAAAATATCCACGACCCGTATCGAAAATTTCAATGGAAAATTTTTAGAAGTGTATGGCAGGGTAATTTTTTATACACTTTTAAAAATTGACTCAAAATATCCTCCCTCATGCATGAGGAAATTGGTAAACAAACTCACGCAAAATTTTATTAATTTTCTATTGGTAATTTTATTGGATTTTTATCGATTTTATTGAAAAACTCAACAGCAACTTTTCGCGTTTTTTACATGAAAAATGTTCAATAGAAACTATTTTCTAGATTTATAGATTTTTCTGTTTATAAAAAGCATTCTATTGTCATATTTTTTATAAAAATTCCTCAACATCAATTTTCTAAGTTTTATTCCCTTTATTTTCTCACTCATTAAAAAAAATTAAATACTTATAAAATTTAGGCCAAGGAATTTGTATGGAAAATATCTCAATAGAATCGGCGAAAAACGAATAGAAATATTAATAGAAATTCTATAGAATCCTTATAGAATTTTCTGGCGAATGCGCTACGTTTTTCTATGAAATTTTTCTCTATGAGAACTGATGAGGAATCTGACCAGTGAGGTATTATCTTCAGATTTACCGATTGCTATTTTACTGGTGTATGTTCATTCTAATCATGGGAGAGGATTTATCACAGTTGAATTTAATCGAAACTTCTATGATTGAGTCGATGGCATTTATATCGACGGATGTTAAAGATGGGATTCTGGTTTTTAATAATATGTTGTCAGTCATACTGCCGATGTGTATTCATTCATTATCTAGCTTTATCTTATAAATAAAGGAGAAGGCACGTTTAGGGGGATTGACGTATCAACGCACAGTTCAAATTACCGAAGCTGCTAATATGAAATTTTGCGTGTGGATTCCTATGGTGACATAGGCACCCACACGCAACATAATATTAACGAACACGTATTTTATCATTATCGTCTCATGATTGAATTGCGAAAATTTTCAGAACTTTCGGGACAACTCGAGAATTTCCTAAAACAATCATTAGACAAATCATATTCTCTCATTATAACAATTTGCTCTTCCAATCTTCAGCATCTTCTGAAACTTTTTTTCACTAAAAAAATTTAAGCATATATATCAGTTTTTTGGACAATTCGGAAAACTTTTCCAGGATTCTACAAAATTCGAGAAAATGCACCGGTGGTTTCAAAAATTTGAGAAAATTTTACACCATTTAAGAAGATTCGAGAAAGTTCTCAAGTCTTCTAGGAAAATAGAAAAAAAATTGACGATTTTGCATACTGCGATATGCAGCGTAGAAACTTCTGGAAAATTCTAGAACCTTTTAGAGTTTAGAGAAGAATTCAAGGGAAGTTTCAAATTTTCTCGAAAATTCGGAACTGTTCCAGAAAATGCGGAAAAATTCTTAATAAATCATCATTTTCAAATATGAAAATAAAACGCAGAAGGGAATTGCCCCGGCAACTCTGTTCACTCCAGCTAGTTATAGTATATGACAAGCCTATAAACTCTCACTAGAACTACATATAAGTAGTGGAGGACATCAAACGGTAGAGGAGGGAGGTGATAGAAGGAATTTTCCAAGTAATGTTAAGTGATATTACATGTGAAACAGTTTTAATGAAGACTAATATGTTGTTTATTAAGCGACAGGATTATTCACTGTATTCACAATTCGTCCTTCACGTGATCCGATGCAATCAATGGGGCGAGACCTGCAGCGCACGGTAACCCCTCCCAAAATTGCAGTCTGTCCTTCAATAAATTTTCAGACATTCGCATATGCTGAGGACTTTCAATTGAAAGATACTCTGACGCGCTCGTTCTCACTGGTTTCCATTTCACTGGTAATTCTGGAGTAACTTCGGGGGTAGGATTTCTATAAATAATTAAATTGATTATTAACTCAGAGCCTCTATTTCTGGAGAGATCTTGTCGTTATATAATTCAACTCACCCAGTTTTAGCGAAATTGTACCACAAAGTTGTCATGATATCGACCATTTTCCCATCCTCTTCTGTTAAGACACTACCTGGTGAGAAAACTTCACCTTGGGGAAATAGATATAGAAGGTCGTCACAGTGACAGACTCCATAGTCTCTTTCTCCATCACCGAATACCTTTGACCATGAATTACTGCCACGATAGGCCAAGTAGTAATAATAAATGGGACTTCCGAGACTTTTGAGATGCTTTTCCACAGCCTTCGCTGCATTGACGGTGAACATAGCGTCGGAATACATCTGGAATGCACGAAGAACTTGAGTTGTAGAAGTTTAGGGGAATAGGTGAGCTGAAATGAAGGAGGAAACGGGGAGCTGAAGGGGAAATGAGTCTTTTTTTCAGCCTCACACTCTACATGGAGTCATAAACGGTTAGAATGGACTCTTCGAGATGTTTACTCGAAGATGTGAAGAGGACAGATTTTTTATTAACATTAAACACATTTAATTATGGAATTCAATTGCCATCGGCCAGTGAGCGATGGAATCGAACTTTGAGGGTAATATCACCCGACATGCGTCCAATACCACCCACCTTGTTTTGATAACTGTTTTGAGCAATGCAGACTAGCTGTTATAATTTTTCCAATTTTCATCCTTCGTTTCCATTCTTTGGCTCCATTTTGAGAAAGATTTCACGTGAATAATAATAAATTATCCTGAATTTACCCGATGTTCCAGTGGCCATCGACTACCATGGACGAAAAAATTTAATAGAAAAACCTATCGAATTCGTTAGAAACAGTTAGAACAGTTCTATTGAACTGTTCTATTAGTTTTTGGACGATTCTATTAAAATGTTCAAAAGAAAATCTTTAGTAGAAAAAGTCAATAGAATTCAATTTTTTTATATAACTTATTCTATTGAGATATTTTCTATAGAATTTCCTCGGCTCAAATTTTCAAAGTTTTTTCGTTTGATTTTCTTGATGAGAAGAAAAGAAAAATAGAATGAAAAAAACTGAAAATGTGAGTCGAGCAAATTTTATAGAAAATATATGAAAAGCATAAGTTATATAGAAAAATCGAATTCTGTTGACTTTTTCTATTGAACATGTCAATAGAATCAGCCAAAAACTAATAGAAAGTTTAATAGAAATTTAATAGAATTTTCCAATGAATTCGATAGGTTTATCTATTAACTTTTTTCGTGCGTGAGCCCAAACAATCGAGCTGTCACTCGACCGCCCTCTAGCTGCAGAGTTTAGTTGCCCTATAGAAATCCTGAGCGGCATTACCCACAAACTCTGGGCGGAATTGATAAAATAGCCAATAGTAACTGATGAAGATATTTTTCTGCGAAAAGGTCGCAATGGATGTGGAAATGTATAACAAACATATATTTAGCACTCCATTTAATTATGGACCGACTGGAGATTTGAAAAATCTTAAATTCTGGAGCCGAAATATTTGAAGAATTCGGTAGGAAATGATCTTAATTTTTTAAAATTGTGTTTTCACGCTAGAAAATTGGAAATTTCTGTTGAAATTACTTGTTGTGATCAAATATTTGCATAATACAAAAATAAAAATAAAATTTCTCATCTAATCCTAAAAAAAACGGGTGGGCGGCATTACCCGCTGGACGGTATAGACACCAGCTACCCTGAGGTCCAAACTGTTCGTTATCAAAAAAGATTTCTCACGTGTATCAAATCCATTCTTGTTGATTCATCGATGGCTCTGTTTCCAAGATAAAATTCTCTGATTTTTTCAGCAATTTGCGTGTGCATATACTTTGAACAAACGTTGTCGTACATGAAGGTCACCGGGGCCAATTCCAAGTAATTGTTGGCCAGTTTCTGAATATAGTGCTTCGTGTCATCGTGTCCATACAAGTCTGTCAAAGAAAATGGGGTAACTTAGCTTGGTTTTTTATAAACGAATTTCACATACATCTATATAGTGATTGCAGGTTCTCGCAATTATCGGTCTGGTCTCCGGGTCAAATTTTCTATTGAGCTGCAAGTTTCACCCTTTGTTATACATTTTTAGGAACCCGTTGCTCTAAATTTTCTTCAATTGTATCTAACAGCTACAGTTTTAATTTTAGAAAAAAATGTTCTGCAATTTTTTTGTGCCACCATTCCTTGCCTTAGAAAATACTTTTTCGTTGAAATCATGTGTTAATTTTTTGTTCCACCTCATCTAATTGACAACGATGAATGAATCTATGGGATTTCCTATGGAGTGTCCCCACAGAATAGTCCAATAGAATGAATTCTTCATGGCGGGTTTTTTCATACGCGTTCCAAGTGAATTAAATGCTGATGGCTCACTTGCTGCACGAAGGGCGCCCTCATGTGACGTAAAACCTGTCATCCAAGGTATGTCTGTCAAATTCCCACTTTTCAGAATTTCTACTGGATCCTGCGCTAAAAAAGCACCAGGATGATTTGGCTCCACTACAGGTTTGAACGGAATCACCGGATCATAGCTGAAAATCTATAAAATGAATTTGTTTCCATTGGGGTCATATTGCATCTGTATAATTGAGTCGAGGGATGCTAACTCAAGAAATATGAGTTATTTTACCAATTACCAATCGATCATTCCTCACCAAATGTGAAATTTCGACCAACTTCTTACATATCTTTGTACCCGATAAGTGCTCTCTCTATATAAAGTATTCCGTGGTTCAGAGGACAATTGGTTCTTGATGGTTGGGTGCATTAATAAAACATGAACCATTCTTCATCGAGTCTAAATTGATAAAATTTTAGAAGAAGTCACTTCGTATCGGATTCAAAGATATACAACTGATAGACTGATTCATTTATTCCAAACGAGATTCGTTGACTATTAACGCATGGTAGAATTCAATATGACCAAATGAATATTCGTTAATAGTTAATGAATGGTTCACTTGAAAAGTGAAAATTGAACGAAACAAGGCTCCTCAAATGTGAATTGTTGACTATGGATCGTAAAACGGAAGCTTAACTTTGTTCTTTGGAGTCTCATGAATATTTTGAAAAAACAATCAAATCGGATTAAAATTGGGGAACGAGGATCGTTTTAAAGGTAGAAACATGAAAAACGACGTTTTCCGTGGAAGTACGGGGCAAAACCGATTGGGTCCGGGATTTTTCCCACTTTTTAACATATCCCATCATATAACTAAAGTCGCTCAATAAGTCCCTAGAACCTGCCGAAGACTGTCAAATTTCACGAAGGGCGAAAGAAGGGTCCCCCCTTAACGAATGAAGATTTAATGAGACCGAATAGGCCCTCGTCTGCAACCAAATCCATTTGTTAACAATAACTAACCGTTTCTATCAGTGTATCAAGAGTAGTTCAAAATTTCAAATTTGTCAAAGAGTAATGGATTGGTAATTGATGGACTGATCCTTCATACCCGCCATTCTACATCGGCTGAAGTCACTTCAATCGGATCTTTATGTTGAAGACAATCTCGAAGTTTTTCAGAAGGTTCAACAGGACAATTCAGTTGCTTGGCAAGTCGCTGAGCTTGCTTCTTTGCAGCGGCTGGTGTTGTCCGAGACCACGGAGCTAGAGCTGTGCCACTTTGAGAAATAACGCGGTGGAAGAGACCTTGGAAAATAAATCTGGGGATTCATATATCCTTCCGTGCCAAGACGAACGTAAAATCCTCGTAAAGTTTACCTTTTGCCAGAGGACTGAGCATGAGATAATGAGTGCTAGCACCACCTGCACTCTCCCCAAATATTGTCACACTATTTTTATCTCCTCCGAATGCTGCAATATTTTCCCGAATCCATTTCAAAGCTAGAACTTGATCCTTCAATCCCTGATTACCAGGAAGGACTTCATCGGCGGTACTTAGAAAACCTAGTGGCCCTAATCTGTGAAGATTGACAAGAATTAGTTCTTCGTCCATTCCCCGGCAGTTTTGAGACATTCTGAATTGACATAATCATTCACCTGTAATTGAAAGATACCAGAATAACATCCTTATCAAGAAGGAATTTAGGGTTGTACAATAAAGAGTCACTGGAGCCACACATCCAACCTCCCCCATGAACCCACACCATCACTGGATACCTAGTTTCATCGTGTTCGTTTTCAAAATCTGACACCTTTGGAGTGTAAACATTCAGATACAGGCAATCTTCTGTGCCAAAGAATTCATTTTCACCTGCAAAAACGTTGTTTTGCACACAAACTGCCGCGTCATGTTCAGCCGAGCGGGTGCCTGACCATGAACTCACGGGTTGAGGTAGCTGTATTAAGAAAAAAGATCATTAGCTTAGTATCTTTCCATTCAACGAGGTAATTAATGCCTGCATTAATTATTTATGATTTGTCAACTCATCTGATGAGCTGCTTTACGGTTTCCAGAAACATCATGTAACATTAATTGGATAATGGAATAGCAAGAGTATATCATACCTCAAATCTCAATTCGCCGATTGGTGGAAGAGCGTAAGGTATTCCTCTGAATGCCGAGATTTCTCTTCCCTTCCTTGTCCTCATATAAGTACCTTGCAATCTTCCATGCTGAATTTTCACAACAGGTGAAGCAGATGTCGAGGGACTGATGAAGAATAAAATAAATAATGTCACGGCCGCTGATAATATATTCATTGTGCACAAATATGAATCGTAATGACGCTTTCACGAGACGCTATGTAGATATTGACTGACTGGTGACGAAGTTGCAACTAGTGAGAATGGTTTTATGCAGTGATATGCGTATGTGAGATGATCTGAGAGTGGGGATTTTCATGTCACCAGGGGCGTGTCATGCTACTTCGATCGAATCAGGAGATTTTTTTTTCAAATTTCGAAAAAAATTGAGTATGTTTCCGATTGTTTCCTAGCATGCCTTAGAATATCATAATGTGGTGACTATGTCTCCACTACACCTCTGTCATTCACACACGCACACACATACATATACTCAATTTTCCTCTCTAGACATTGGGCCAATTCCCTAATTTTCCTGTCGAGATATTGAGCCAATTCCCACATAAAAATCCATTTCCTTATTCCTTCGAAAGTCTAGAACATCTGTCCAAGTCACAAATCATAAACCTTTCCTCAACCTAATGACCCGTTTATAACCATAATCCCTCAGGCGCCCGACTAGCGGCTGTGATGTCACGACGAAAATTTCCCCGCCGGGACCCCCGAGCCAATCACAGCTCACCGGCGGAAACTTACAGTGCCGAACCAATCGAAAGCCAGGATTTCACTTATCCCTTCTCCAAATTTTCCACCAATCACATCCTTACACTCCACATAAATATCGCACACTTTCCACACTCATCATCATTCACTCATCCATCCCTTGACGACTCAATTTCGCACCGAGGACAAGTTTACTCTCTAATCACCGTTGTGAAAGAAAAACTTAATTTAATATAAAATTCAATTTCGCTCACCGCTGGACTTCACATTTATTCCTCAACCTGCTCACCTCCACAATAAAAAAACAATTTTTTTTGCAAGTTATGCGACATCAAAATTTTCAGGGTGGACCAGCTGAGTAATTAAAAAAAATATATATAACTCGATAAATATCAATTTTATCCAATTACTGAAAAAAAACTTTTTTATTCTAAACAAGTGTAAGTTTCCCGAGGAAAAAAATGGACGCGAAAAAGTTCAATTTGCAATGAATTAATCAATAAACAAATTAAAAAGTTAATAACAAAGTATGAGGGCGTATTGCGAAAATTTCGAAAAAAAATTATCTTATTGCATAGATATCGAAGGATTGTTGGTATAAATGGCATTGACTAATCTTGAATAGTTCCCGAGATATTGAGTTCTTTATGGAGTTCCGCAAGTCGCAGGTCTCTCCGGATGCATTCCAAATTGGGGGAACGTGCTGAGCGTCTTCGTATCCAATAGGGTCTCAGTCTGTAACTTTCTTCGAACGTCAATTCACAATGGACTTCTGGATATTACTTACTGACAATTCAATGGTTCTGGAAAATGTCAATAGACAATCAACTGATGCCTAAGGCGGGGCACCTGCGGTGCCAACCATATCGCAGGGGTGTAGTAATTGTGATGTGTTAGGAAAGGCTTGCACAATTACTAACAAAGTATTCAAAATACTGAATCGTAATATATTTACAATCGCGTTAATTATAATATACAATAGATAGATGAATACGTATAAGTGAGTCCCGAGTAGAACTCGGAGACGAACTGTGACTGACTGACTCACTGGTCAGTGCGGATTAATAATTTGGGTAGCAGGTAAACGCGTGATATTTGAGAGAGCGAGATATTCGGAGGATTAGAGCGAGATAGGGCTCGTCTATTGGTGATTGCTCCTCAGCGCGTGTCTGCGTGTGTGTAAGTGTAGCAGTCGCTACAGGGGGTATCTCGCTTTATGCACTGTGATCAGTGCAACCGATATTGACCGTGAAATTCAACCTTTTATTACTCATCTACTCGTGTGTAATGAAATTTTGGTTTCAATGACTGCAATATGCGTGAAAAGGGAGCACATGGAGTGCCCTTCCAGAGATAGCCGAACGCCCAGCAGGTATCCGGGATATATTGATGATTCAATCACTGATTGGCTGGTTGCCAATCAGCCAATAGAGGACGATCCATTCTCTGCAGAAGTGCATAAATAGAGATTGCTTAAATTCTCGAGTACATTTATCAACGGCTAGTCGTGAAATTATAGTTTTTGGTTTTTTTATAGTAATCGGAAAATTAATTTTTTTTCATTCAGGATGCTCTTCAGGGATATCACTGGACAAAAGATCAAGTCACTTTTCACCCAATAGTTACTTATCATCGAGCTGGCACCGAGTTGAACCACGATAGTTTTGTTTTAATTTCTGAGTCTCTTAATCATGACACGGCAGCCGTTCATTTATTTCGTAGAAAAGTCATCAACCGCTTGAAAACTAAATACAGTCAAATCAATAAAATCTTTTATTTTTCGGACGGTGTCAGTTCTCAATATAAAAATAGGAAAAATTTTATCAATCTCGTTTACCATGAATTAGACTTCGGTATGAGTGCTGACTAGCATTTCTTTGCAACGTCCCACGGAAAAGCGCCATGTGATGGGATTGGTGGAACGGTGAAGAGAGCCGCAGCTCGAGCGAGTTTACAGCGACCATATGACAATCAAATTAAGACTCCACGAGACTTTTATGAATTCACAAAAAACTCAATAGAGTCAATCGCAAGTATCTTTTGTACAAATGAGGAACATAAAATAGTAGAGGATGCTCTGAAAAGTCGATTCTTAAATGCTTTAACCATCACCGGAACTCGTCAATTTCATTCTTTCGCGCCGATTATTAATACCCATAGTCTCCAATGTAAAACCTATTCTCTTGACAATGAATTTCACATCCGTAATGTCGCGTAGAATTAAATTAATACAAAAATAGCCACGTTTGATGAATGTAACTTTGAATATTTTAGGAAAATTCCCCCTGAAGTTTTTAATAAAGTTATATAATTTGAAAAATGAATAGGAGGGTATTCATTTTTCAAATAAATTGTTACAATTTGCGGTCAATTTACAATTGTATTTAATCGTAGAATATCCATTGCAATATATTTATTGCTCAGATACGGAGAGTCTACACTGGACAGCGGAGAGCCTACCGAGTGTATTCACCGTACCGCGCTGACAGCTCCGCTCCAGCCAACCACGCCTCATAAAAGACTCAATATCTCGGGAACTATTTGAGATTAGCGAACGCCAATTTTACTAGCAATTATTAAATACATACTCTATAACATATATTTTCCGATTTTTTGCAACATGCCCTCATGATTTGTTATTAACTTTTAAATTTGTTTATTGATTAATTTATTGTAAATTGAATTTTTTCAATTCCAGTTTTTTCCCCCGAAAACTTACACCATTTTTGAATAAAAAAGTTCTCTTGCACTTATTCACTAAAATTGATATTTATCGAGTTATAATTTTTTCAAAATCACTCATCTGTTCCAACGTGAAAATTGTGATTCGTCACAAAATTTCGAAATTTTTTTTTTCAATAAGAATTTTAGGTAAGTTTGGAGTATTTCTATAGCATATCAAATTTTCAGCAAAATCGGAAAAAAATCAATAGAAATAGCATGGAACGCCCCAGGAAGGAATTGAATAGTTGATGAATATCGAAACAAGTCAATAATCAAGTCGAAGTAAGCCCTAAAATGTAGATTTCGGCAAATCTCCATGGAATTTTTTCTCCATCTTCTGCGATTTTAATGATTAAGAGCTGAAGTTCAAATCTTTCCTTCAAGAAACTAAGATTGATAAGTCTATGGAAATAGATTTGCGCTATTCACTGTGATCAATGACAAAAAATTTGTATATATGGAAAAATATATTAATTTTATCGTGCGGAATTCAATTTTCCTCTATCTTAATCGAATTTGCCAATAAATGCATCGGAGCGCCCAAACATCCGCGCAAGTGTTAACGTGCTGGTCACTTCCCTTCCATCCATGATAACTCTTTATATATCGCATTTAGGAGAAAAAGTTATACGATAAAAAATGTGTATTTTTACATAACAAACATCTTTGGTTTGAAATTTTTTTCTCTATCTGCAACCGTTTTTATGATATGATTGATTAAACAATAAAAATGTTATAAATAAATAGACCTGACTACAATTTGTAAAAATCGACGTCGGATTCGGATTCAGCACTAAAGCAACTTTTTGGTAGCATACAATTTTTAGAATTTTTTCAGATTTTTTAAATGGGGCTTTCGTTAATCTACTCCAAAAATTGCTTTGTAGCTCAAAAATTGGAGGCACTGTTGCTCCTCATATTTCCCCCTTATAAATTTTTTTTCTTCTCGTATACCCTTTCGGGTCTTTATGATTTGTTCCCTTCCCACCTCCCAACCCCACCGCATTCGCCGAAGGACAAGGGAAAACCTCATTTGGAGGGAAAAACCCACTTCGAGATTTCATTTTTTTACCTCGATATATCCCATAAGCGCTATCCACGTACACCCGAGAATTTATGTGAACGATTGAAGTGAGAAAGTTGATCCAGAAGACAAAAAGACAGTATTTGAATACTGATCCATTTCTCATTTTGAATAATTTCCGACATTCTGAGTATCGATGTTCAGTCTGTCATACGTTGTCATACAGTACTGGCAATTATGATAAAAAAGTGAATTCAGAAGGAAGCAATGTTAGTTGAAGTTGTATGTATACAATACAATACAATACAATTTATATATAAACCATGAAACTAGGTTACCTTAATGATAATTCTTCAGTGTCACTGTAACTAGTAAATTCTATTCATTATTACTCAAACATTTGTAGTACACTTTTGATAAATGAAGATCGTGTTGTACAACTCATACTTTCCGATTCTATGAATTGAATGTTTCCTAATATTTTCTGGAAATTCAGGAGACAGTGATTTTTATGAAAATCGCATCATGGCCTACAATCACATTTCAGAACATAATTTTCACGTGGTTTTACGTATGAAAATTTTTTATAGGATTTCCGATAGGATATCCTATAGGATTTCCTATAGGAAATTCTATGGAGAATTTAAACATTTCCTATAGGATTTTTCTCATTGGATTTCCTATCGGATTTCCCACAGCATTCCCTATAGAGTTTCCTGAGATTTATGACCGTAATCCTAACCCTTATGACCTATTTGTCCGAGTCTCAATTTTGTGTGTTACTTTCTATAAAAAACTCGATAGTGAATTCTATAGGAAATCCTATAGGAAATCCTACAGGAAATCCCACCAGAAAAATCTTATAGGAAATGTTCGAATTCTCCATAGGATTTCCTATAGGAAATCCTAAAACCTATAGGATTTTCTATAGAATTTTCTATAGGAAATCCTACAGGTTTTTTTCATACGTGTTTCATACCCAAAAAAAATCCTTATTTTGGGATTTTAAAGATTTTCAATTGAGACGTTCGAAAGTCCCCATTTAAGACTTTCAAATCTCCAATTGAAATATTCAGAGGGTTTAAATAGCAGTTTTCCAGTCGTAAATTCAGATTTCCAACTCTCCAATTGAGTTTTTCAAGTCTTAAATTGACACTTTCGAATGTCTTAAGATGTACCCCTTGCATGTGTTGAATTTTAGAATTATCCTCGTGTCTAAACTAATTAATTTTTGGAACTAAAAAAAACATCAATCACTCCATTACTATATTGTGCAGTGCCTGAAGTTTTTTGGTTTCCAAAAATTAATCACAATGAACACGAAGACGATTCAAAATTCTTTCGTCAGCACTCGTGCAACAATTTAACAGAAAAACCTAGCGAATTCGCTAGACAATTCTATTGTAGTACTATTGAACTTTCTATTAGTTTTTGGCCGATCCTATTGAAATGTTTGATAAAAACTATTCTACAAAAAAAGTCAAT